TAATAATAATAATAATAATAATAATAATAATAAAAAGCGAGGGGAGTGAGCGCAGAACTGAAAAGAGAGTTGGGTGGTCACACCCAATTTGCCCTAAAACGAAATTGATATCACACAACCATCCATCAACTTGTTCATCTATTTCAGTCTACCAACTTGTACTTGAGGGCACTCATAACAGAATTAAAAAAAAAAAAAATGCTTTCTCCTTTCTGGATACTCTTTACATCCTCCGTCGGCTTCGTGTACCTGATCAAGAGCTCGATCCTTTTCCTAAAATGGATTTGGGGTTCATTTTTCCGAGCCTCGAAGGATCTGAAAAGCTACGGATCTTGGGCACTGGTCACTGGCTCGACCGACGGAATAGGCAAAGCTTTCGCATTCAAACTGGCGGAGAACGGACTGAAGCTCGTCCTCGTGAGCCGCGACAGTGGCAAGCTCGAAAGAATTTCTAAAGAAATCAAAGAGAAAAACCCACTGACAGACATCAAAACGTTGGAGGTCGATTTTTCGGGAGACGCTGCATGGGGAGCGGCTCGGGTGAAGGAGGCCGTAAAGGGTCTCGATATTGGGGTTTTGATAAACAACGTTGGGGTCACATATCCGCGGGCCACGTTTTTCCATGATGTGGACGAGAGAATATGGATGAACTTGGTTAGGGTTAATGTGGAGAGCACGAGTTATGTGACGAAAGCGGTTGTACCGGGCATGGTCGCGAGGGGGCGAGGAGTGATAGTTAACATGGGATCGGGTGCATCGCTTGTTGTACCTTCTCATCCGCTTTATGCCGTCTATGCCGCCACCAAAGCGTACGTATATAGGCCTTCTACATCTCCTGTAAATTAATTAATTTTGCTTTTTTTTTTCATCTACATATTCAGGACTTTACACTGGTTTATTTTACACACAAACCACGACTCAAATCAATATGTAAATATACCAATCAATATGTATATATAGAAAGATGCTACGATCCCATTACGAAATCATTCCGTCGAAATTTGTAACTTTTAGATTAATTATCTCTGACGGTTACATGATGATCTAACGGTTACAAACCCTGACGGAATAGTTTCGTAACGAGACCTTAGCAGTTTCGCGTATATATATACATGCATTATTATGTTACTATATATGTGAAGTTATAAATTTGTCCGGCCGAATTCAGTGCGGAATAATGTGTAGGTTTAGTTAGGTGAACGTTACACATACGGATAATATGATGACAATTTATTTGCCGCGCGCACATAAAATAACTCTCTTAACTATAATACTAAAATTATTTGTACTCTATTTATTATTTCCTTTTTTCTTAATATCAAGTTTCATAAGACGTAAAATTAATACATGCCAAGTATTAATTATTTGGGAAAAATTTAATTTTGGTCATTTACTTGTCTAATTTTATTTTTTGTTCCACTAACTTTCCTCTCTCATAAATCATTAAAAGTATGTTATTATTAGAATATTTATTTGTGAGTTATATATAAGTGTAATGGGCTACTCCTCTTTCAATCAATTGGTTTTGGGATGGAACTTCATTTGTGCTTCATCTGAGCTTTTTTGTTATAGTGCGCTTCACGTGCATGGGACCACACTTATTTTGCCCTCGTTTCTTACAATGTTGCAATTTGTGTCACTATTCGGATATATCGCGAAAATAATTCATTATTTTTTGAGATTAATGTTCTAAAAATGATACAAATTGTAAATAACGTACTGTCTTTTATGAGTAATGTCCCAAAAATGATACAAATTGCAACAAAGCGTCTTATTATTGATGAAGGAAAATTAGTGTACCAGAAAAAGACTTTAAACAAGTAAACGGACCAAAATTAAATTTTTTTCCTAATTATTTTCATTTGTCTTAAGAAAGATAAATATTTATGTTTCTCTATGTTTTCTAAATTATCGCTAATAATGGCAACTAGTGATCGATGTCAATAATTACTATTATTATTATTATTATTATTATTATTATTATTATTATTATTATTATTATTATTATTATTTGTATTATTATTATTATTATTTTAATGATTATAGTTTTTTTTCTTAATTTTGTTTAATAAGACGAGATAGGGAATTTTCTTTAATATCGTGCTTTATTTGTGTGGTTTATGACTTTCCCAAAAATAGAAGCTTTATTATTTTTGGAAAAATGAGTTATTGTGCAGGTACGTGGATCAGTTATCAAGAAGTTTATATGTGGAGTACAAGCAACATGGTATAGATGTTCAGTGCCAGGTAATTCGTATATCTATCTATCTATCTATCTGCTATGCAAAATTGCAGCTTTTAACAATTAAATGTAATTAATTTTTCTATGTACCTTTATGTGTCAGTTGATTACGTATATGTAAAATTATTATAAGGTCTAAATTTGGATTTTTTATAAGATTGTTAATAACTATAAATGTAGTTGGTAAGATATATTCCCTCCTATTTTTATTATTTGTCGTTTTAATAAGCAACACGCTAATTAAGAATTTTTTTCTTGCCAATATTAACACTATTTAATGGATGTTATGGAAAACAATGAAGATGTGATATGAAGAGAGTGTGCATTCAATGAAGAGTTAAAAATGAAAAAAAATATGAACAAAATAGTCAAAAACGACATTTATTTAATCAATGACCAATTAAGCTAGGATGACAAATAATAAAAATAGGGGGGGAGTATTATACTCCCTCATATTTTTAATAGATATCGTTTTGAGAAGTTGCACAGAAATTAAGAATATTTTTTTTTGCCAATAATAACCCTCATTAATGAGGATAGAGATGAATGTTTTGAGAAAAGCTGAAGAGTGAACATAAAAAAATAGTGTATTTATTAGCTAGATGAGAGTATTGATGAAAAAATATGTACAAAAAATTCGAAAATGACATTTATTTAGTTAATAGTTGATAAAACTAAAAT